AGCCCAAGTTTAACATACACACATAGGTATACTTGTAAATATGCACACTCTACTTGTACCACAGATCTTTTATTTCTAATGATGGCTTCACCCTCAGTCTTTCGCTTGAGACTTGTGTTTGTTGTGGCACTTTATTTCTAGTGCCATTTTCAAGTGTACCCATTCAACTATTCAGTGCCTGTTATATAACTGCATGTTCGAAGGGCTGAGGATAAGTGGACAGAGAAGAAAGGCATGGTTACTTTGCTCACAGGTACTAGGATGCTTATAAGAGAAATGTATTTCAGTAGAATAAAGTTAATTCTGCCAAAAGTTCTAACAATAGCAATGAAAACGCTTTTAGGTAGAGATTGGGTGAAGATGAGTTTCCTTGGTACATTCAAGTCAAGAGAAAGGAATTAGAGCTCCAAACCTGGAACTCATCAACTTATAGAAGGCAACTGAAAACTAATTTTGGACAAATCAAAGGCACTGTCTTTTATTTCTGTTCCTGTGGCCTTTTGTTTATTTTGGACACAGTTATTTTCTTTTTATTTTCCAGGGGTGGGTATCAAACTCAGGACCTCATACATACTAGGCAAACAGTCTATCACTAAACTTCATCCTCAGCCCTTGGCTTTTTGAGACAGGATATTGCTATGCAACTCACACTGGTCTTGAACGCACTATGTAGATAAGGCTGGCCTTGAAATCAAGATTCTCCTACCTCTACAAATTGCCAAGATTACAAGTGTTTGCCACCATACCTGGCACCATCTTCTTGTTATGTTTTCTCAACCATTGTCTTCCCTATTTAGCATGTTACAACCTCAATCACGATTAAGCTTCAGTGTCACACTTTCAAGGAAGTTACATTAAATTATAAAAACAAAGAGAAGAGGTGGATGTGGGGAGATGAGGAAGAGAGAGACACACATACACAGAGACAGAGAGACAGAGAGACAAAGACAGAGAGACAGAGACAGAATATCACAAAGAAAGAAAAATCCAGCTTGCATCTGTATTCACCAGAGCAATCAATTCATTCTTGGAACATTTGTCATTGATCATTTCTGATGGCTTCTGATGCCAACAAGCTGGCTGAGAAGGCAATTCTTGAGTAAATAGTTGACCGGGTTAATGTAGACCCAACACCTGTCATAAGAGCTATAAAGTCAACAGCATCTATAAAATCTCGCCATTTGAAGCGAAGTCCACAGGCAAGCAGCCTCTCTATCACCTGGGAGCTTGTTAGAAAAGCAGAACCTCTGTAGTCACCCAGGAACTACCTGGACTGGATCTGCATCTTAACAAGGTCCCTAGGGGAACTGCAGACACATTAAAATTTGAGAAGCACTGCCATCAAGGGCTGGGGTGGTGAGAGGAAACAACAGGAGGCCTCAGTTCATCCTGAGGGTCAGGGATGGGGTCACGGGGAAAGATGGCCTTTGATTAGGCTCAAGAGTCAGTCAGAGGCTCATGGGACACAAGAGACTGGAAGGCTTACCCAACAAACATTTATTTTCTCCCAACTCTGGAGTCTGGACATCTGAGAAGAGAGACCAGTGTGGTCAGATGCTGGGGAGGCTTGGCTTCCTGGCTTATAGACAGCTGCATCCCTACATGGTAGAGGAAGAGGGGGAGGGAGTCAGATTCCCTCCCTCTCTCCCTCCTCATCCCTTCTTAGAAGAACACAAATGTCTATCATGAAAACCACACACCCATGACCTCATCTACACTTAATTACCTCCAACAGTACTGTATCCAAATACCTTCACTTTAGGATCAGGACATCGGAACTTTTTATTATTATTATTTTTTGAAGGGAGTGACAAAATTCAGTCCATAACAAAAGTCTTAAAGGAGTATAATAAACAATAAAGGAGGATAATAAATGATTTGTATTTTTGAATTACTGTTCTATATGTAAAGGGCTTTAAGCAAGTCAAGAATATATCTTGAGGCGGGTACCAGTAGCTCACATTTGTAATCCTAGCTACTCAAAAGGCTGAGATCCAAGGATTTCAATTCAAAGCCAACATGGGTAGGAAAGTCCATGAGACTGTCATCTTTAGTTAGTCACTAAAAAACTGGAAGTGGGACTGTGGCTCAAATAGTAGACCACTAACCCTGAGCAAAAGAACTAAGGGACAGAGTCCTGGGCCTGAATTCAAGCACCAGTACCAGCAAACACACACACACACACACACACACACACACACACACATCACACATATATATATACACACACACACAGATATGTCTGGGAGACTACCTAAAGATTATTTCACTGGTCAAAGTAAATGACACTGATGGCTCACACAGAGATAATTTGGGACAAAGCAAACCACAGTGACACATTCAGGTATTAAACGTAACAGAGTTTGATAATGGAGTTCAGATTGTGGTAGGGAGGAGGGTCAAAAAAGATGGATTATGTTTCCAGTTTATTCAGTTGAACAAGTATGATGTATTTCTTGAGGTAGGAATCATGAAATCAGCAAGTTTGTGTGTGGCATCTTGCTGAACACACTAAACAGTGTAGAAACAACTGAAAGAGTGGCTGTCATTTAGTGGGCTGCTGTGTGCATGTTTGGTGCATATCATTTTAATTCTTGTAGGATACAAACTGTTTTCCCACATGGGAAGGTCAACCAAGGAAATCTATCTACAGAAGGAAACATTGTTGAGAGTTTTAAAGGTCTGGTACAATGAACAGAACAGCATGCTTGCTGATGAGAACATCAGAGAAGACAAGAAAGATGACAGGAGCTGGGAGCTGAGGTCTAAAGATTGAGCCAGGCAGAAATAAGCACAGCGGAAGCAGTAAGAGCAGAGCCATCAGAAAGTTCAAGTGGGCAAACAGTAAAAGAAAAGTTGACCCGAAGGGGAGGGGCCAGGGTAGGAGGACCTTGAAAGTCTGTAATTTGGATTTTATAGAGGGAAGGGTTTGAGCATGAAAAGAACATGTCTTTACATGATTTGGGAAAACCTGTTTGGCAACAGGGAAGCCCAGAGACAAGGTCTGAGTCCTCCAGGCCATTAATTAGCATTTGTGTCACTCAGATCATAGGTCAGAGTTTTAGACTAGCTGAAGAGGAAAAATCAACAACACAATTTCTTTGGATGAGAAGCTGGAGTTGAGAAATAGGAGTCAAAGATGGTTAAAGACTCGGGAATAAGATTAGAGAAATGGGGGTATCAAAGACAGAATCAGAAGATGTGAAGAGGAAAGGCCCATATGTGTGCAGTATAAGTGTATTGATATATCTTTTTTTTTCTTGTGCCCATACTGGGGCTTTGAACTTAGGGACTGGGTGCTGTTCCTTAACTTTTTTTTATTCAAGGCTGGCACTCTGCCACTTGAGTGAAAACTTAACTCCTAGTTTTTGGTGATTAATTGGAAATAAAAGTCAAACACACTTTACTGCCAGGATTGGCTTCAAACTCAACTTCCTGAGTAGCTAGGATTACTGGTGTGAGCCACTGGTGCCTACCTGTATAGAATACTTGTATGATTACAGAGATAATTTAAGTTTGCAGAAAAATTACAGTAGATGAAAGTCTGAAGTTATATTTGATGGATTTACATGGGAGTAAATACAAATCAAGGAGAATAAAGCATTGTACTCGATTGAAGAAAATAGTCCTCCACTCATATGAAGCATGTTTTTTAAATGCAATTGGCAAATTAAAAACATTATACCTCATTAACCTCATTCCAGATGCTCTAAACAGTTACATATATATATATATATATATATATATATATATATATATATATATATATATATATATTATATATATGGTGTAGGTCCAACCTTTTCTATGAATAGGACCTTTGTTCCTGCCTGTCTAGTCACAGACTCATCTCATATATATATATATATATATATACATATATACATACATATATACATATATATATATATACATATATATGTGTATATATATTCAAAATGTTGTGGTTAGTGGAAGGAAAATGTGTGCTTATTGTGTTTTCTAAATGCCATATGTTTTTGGTTTTTGTTTTCAAAGCATGTAGAAATGGTGTTGACTGGAAAAAATAAGTAACCCTTCCTAACCTTTCATTTCTCTTTTCTGGCTTTATCTCAAGGAGCCTCATCAGCTTCTGGAACGTCTTTTCCTGGAGTGGGGTCTGAAGTAAGTATCCCTCACGGATGACCTGTGTGTGTCCCAGGTGTAGAGATTCCGCAGTAAACACCTTCCTGTAACCATTGCTTCGTGAATGACAACATGAGCCAAGGCGAGTGATTTATCAAGTGGTATCTAAGACTATTAAGACACACCTAAACCTTTGTGGGTGGCTGCCAAGAACACAAAGGGTGAAAATGCAGATATCGATGTTATTGTTCAGTCTTCCCTAATTGAAGTCCCCAGTGGTCTGCAAACTTAAAGCAGACAGAAGGTTGGTTATACGGGCCACAGGATGTAACCACTGCAATAAGAGAGAGCCTACAGGAGAGGCAAGGGCTTAGAAGCAGGTTTTGATGTTTGAATTGGGCCAATTCTCGCTGCATCATGGAAATCACATGTAAATGTCTTCTAAGGTATCGATTTGCACGGCAGATATTGAATTGTTTTCATATATAGATGCAGATATACAGATCTCTATATATGTGGATGGACAGCCAGACACACATACATGTTTTGTCAAACGGTCTCAGGACTCCAGCGGCAGGTCCAATCTGGCTCCCTGTAGAATCTGCGGAGTTCCGTGTTTGCACAGCTTTGGGCGGGCTCGCCTCGAAGCTGGCCCCCTCCCGGCTCGGCCAATTACGTGCCACTTTGTCTCGGTGCGGTGGTGACTGCTTTCTCCCGGCGAGGGAAATTCCTCTCTCACTAGTATGGATGCTCTGTTTTCAGACGCTGCCAGCGCCGTGTTGCTGTGTCAGTCATCCTATGAGGGCCCGGCGCAGACAAGGAGGGCTGACGAGCTGGCCGCCGATTGGCTGGTCGCGGCGGGGGCGTGGCTTGGAGGAAGGAAGAGCTGCATTTCACAGCAACAGAGTTTAGACTGTCTTTGCTTCATCATCTGAAGGTAAAAAAAAAAAAGAAAAAGAAAAAAAGAAGAAGAAAAAAGAGAGAGGAGAAAGAGAGAGAGAAAAAAGCCAACAAATTCCAGATACGGCAGGCGGCTTTTCCCGAGGACCATAAACAGGGGATGAGAAGAACTATTGGCCTGGAAATTTCTTCCTCGTGATGCGGTGGAGAAGCGTCGGCCTCTGGATCCTACCAGATGTTCTTGGGGTCACCGTCCAGGAGTAGGACCAGCCGAGCTAAACAAGGTAGGAGAGTCACCCCCACTCCCTCCCACCCCCCACCTTTTTTTTCTTTCTTTCTTGAATGTTTAAAGAGTTTGCTGCAGTATGGTGCATTCCATGTGCATTGCTTACGGAGGCCAGGGAGACCGGATTCCACTAATTCAGATGAAATACTTGCACGGAAGCCTAGAGATTTTTCCCCCTTTTTTTACGTAACATTTTGATTTGAGGAAAAAGGCTAGAACTCTAACGCCGTGGATTTTAGGGCGAGGTAGATAAGTGAGTTTTTAATTCAGAGACTGAATTCATTTATTATTTTTGTTATTATTCATGTTTAGGGGGAAAATTTGAAAATTTTGAGAACATTCTTATTTTCTTGTTTTAGAAAATATCCGTCACTGCCGTAAGTAAAGTTTACAGGGATCTTATTGTTATTTGAAAACAGACTGCTTGGCAGTTAAGAAATTTTTGTTGTTGTTGTTGCTAAAAAAAGAAAAAGAAAATCAACTTTATAGTAAATGAGCTTAATGTTTGGGCCACAAAGATATCATCTATTTCTGAGAAATGAGAGACCTCCCTGGCTTTAGAATGCTACAGTTTTAATTGAGTTTCAAGAGCACAATTTTAAACAAGGACTAAGAGGTAGCTTTCTGGCAAGTTTCGTTACTGTAGTTGAATGTTTACATTTCTTTCCCTGGCATGTCTGAGCCTTTGTTTCTACCTTAGAAGTAGAACCATTATATTCAAAAGTAAAGCTGGGTTAATAATGCTTACTGCAATTATCCGATCCGTATGCATTTTTAATGAGAACACACAGCCAGCAGAATAATTTAATGAGAGCAAGGCTGGCTTTGAAAGCCGTGTTTTTACTGTGCCCAGCCCTATCAACTTTCTTGTCGAGAAAACACCAGTGAGAGATGATGGGAGAAGATTTATTTTTAACACACTTGGCCCAGGAGGAGGAAAGGATATATTTGTTAAAGATTTCTTTCTGCCCTTTTCCGTTTTAAATTTCTGCCAGGCGTGAAGAAACTGTGCTTTTTTTGTTAGGCCTCTCGGGGAAGCATGTGTTTACAATAAATGTGTAACATTTTTAGAATAGTTAGCAAGCACTGGAGCGAAGAAAAAAAAAATCTGACTTTGCCCAACTGCTACTACGGCGTTCTCCAAGACGCATTACTGTCCCTTTAAAAGATAAAGGTTAAGTGGAAAGGGATTGTTAATTGGAGAATATGTATTTGGAGAACAATAAGGTTAAAAAGATAATTAAAGGCAGACGACGTTCTTATAATCGCTACGCAAGAGGAAGTTTCTTTATCCTTCCTGCTTGCTTTGGAGGGGCAGTGGTGTTCACTGAAGTAAAAGCAATGCCACGTCGTAGATTCTTCCAGACCCACGGTTCTTACTTTCAAGGAGAAGTTCAGGACACTAGCCCAGAACTTCTGACGTCATCCCCCAACTATTTCTGCTGTGTGTTCTTTTTATTCGGCTGGTGGAGAGGAAAATTTCTCTAGATGCTGGCTAGGAACATGCTAACTCCCAGTTGGCAGGATTTGAGTGAATGTCTTTACATTCCAGTCTGTTCTTTGCAAATTCACAGCCGATTTCCCCTTTCTAAATAGGGCAACTTCTACCTGTGGGTCAGCACAGGTTTCCTGCAGGGCTCTGGCTTGGCTGGTAAGAATTGGTTGGTGCAGAGAGCTGAGCTCAGCGTTTTGTGTGGGTTTTTTTCCCCCCCCTTTGTGGCCTAACTCCTGTGGTGCATGGTTAGTCACCTGTGTCAATCTACCCTTGGGTTCCCTTATCTAGGCTTCAGGTTATGCCACCAAGTTCAAGGCTGGTTGTGATGGTGGGAACCAGCGGCTTTTATACATAAAGCACTGTGTTCTAGGGCAGATGGCCCAAAGGAAATCAACAACAATACTACCAGCTGTTAACCTGTGTCACAGGTGCTACTTGTGATCTTGGTCTGATAGATTGAGGTTAGGGTTTACTAAGGAGCCTTTGGAGGAAAACACACACACACACACACAAAACAAAAAACAATTTTGGTCAGGACACACTGAAGTTCCTGGGAATTCCCACCACTTATGTAGCCTTGAATAAGTGCTTACCTTGATTTCTCCATCTAACAGAACTGAATGTTAATTGCTACACTGGTCCTAAGTCTAGCATTTTTTAGGAGACCTTGACCTTGTACAAAAAAAAAAAAAGTTGCATGTCTCATGGCACAGTGAGCTGTTTAAAGTACAAAGGGGGGTATTAAGAAATTGTTGACAGTGGCTTTGAGGTACTGAAATACAGAATCATATATAAAATGCTGCAATCTGTGCTCATGGGAATTTTCTAGGGATATTTATCCTTTACAAATGAATACCGTTTCCAAGGAAATCATTGCACTGTTGTTTTCAGTTTCTCCATTGATCTAATCTAATATACTAGAAGCTACGTATGCCAGACCAACCCCACGTTAGTCTCCAGAATGCCCAAGAAAAGCATTTAGTCCCATTTGTACTTGGACTTTTGTATTAAATTTGTGAAAGGAGAATGAAGATGAGAGAAAACAAGAAAAAATAGGCTTGTGAAATCTACTGGTCATATAGCTTCTGTGCGGAACAGCCTGCCTTCCCTCTGCTCGTTGTTTTAATTCGCTGTTGCTATGGTGAAAACAAATCAATATCACATGGCTGCCAGCCAGTCCCGCGCTCAGGGAGCGCCATAGAAATTCAAGATCAGGTACTCAAGATTCCAAGCAAGAACTGGAAGAAGAGGATTTTGATGTTGAGCTTCAGAGAGTTCCTTATAGTAGAAAGAGAAGGGTCAATCTGGCATGGATTTGCCCCTTCCTTTTTTCCAATACTCTTTATCCCCAGAGCCAGAAAAAGATGGGAAGAAAGATGAATTGGTATGTTTACATTTCCCAAAATAGCAAGACAGTAGCGACATAGAAGTACATAGGAGGACATAGCAAGGGGTACAGGATTTGGGGTTCATGAAAAATGGTATAAATGCAAGACGTGTTGGTATATAGTGTAAATGCAAGTCTGTTAAAAACAGACTTTGGAGGACCTCAGCATCTCAGGTAGAGCTGCACCTCAAAACTGGCTAGCCTTGTGCTGGTGGCTTAGGCCTGTAATCCTAGCTACTTAGGAGGCTGAGATATGAGGATCCGATTCAAAGCTAGCCTGGGCAGAAAAGTCAGGGAGATTCTTATCTCCAATTAACCACCACAAGAAATAAATAAGTCAGTTAAACCAGAATTACAGCTGTAGCTCAAGTGGTGGAGTGCTGGCCTAGAGTGAAAAAACTAAAGGACAATGCCCTGAGTTCAAGCTCCAGCAGTGACACACACACCACCACCACCACCACCACAAAAAACTAGTCAGATCAGAAAAAGCTACCATCCTCATGCCAGATAGAAAAACCTGGTAACTAGGAGACAGGTAGACAGTAGAAGTTCTAGAAAGGGAGGCAGGTCAGAACTTCAAAGTCCTTATAAAAACCCCACAAAGTCAAAAGTCAGACCAAAGAGTCAGGACACCACAGGAAAAGGAATATTTCTCTTTTCACAAAAGCTGCAGAGGCCCTGCATGCAGCAGCCTCGTGAGGAAAGAGAAGAGGGTGCAGATAGGAGGGAAGGGTCAGGAGGCCAAGCATTCTTTCTGGAAGGATCCACTGAATTGGGTGGACATGGCTGTCCACTGACTGCTATGTGGAATGTGGAACTTGATATTTTATGCATTGGAAGAAAGCCTCTTGGGAAAAAGAAGCAGGAAGGCCTAGCCGGCTTGGTAAATCATTCACAATGTTATTTTTCTCCATCTCTATTCTCTGTATCCTTTTTGTTTTTCTTTGAGAAAATGTGTACAAACTGTGCTTGCAGCAGTGGGAATGGCCTTAGTCCACAGAAGGGATAGCTAGCTGGGTTTGTAGCTGGCCTAGGCCTCTAACTGTGGGGTGCAGTTTGCGGAATCCAGGCCCTTACCTCCACCATTGAGAGTGAAAACAGGTGTGAAAGTTAAGGCCCAAGGCTTTCTTTTGTGGATCTGAGCTCTAGGGATGTTCGACTTTTTTTGGCTGGCAATCCCCTCTCAATATGGGGGAAGAGGGCGGGAAAGCTTGGTAATAAAAATGGGCTCAACAATGTACCTTAGTGTTTGGACAAAGAATCTATTGTCTAAGGCCTGCTCAGTCAGCATGCCCCACCAATCAATCAACAAGTGTTGGTTAAATACCCCTCCGGCTAGCTCTTGCTATTTGCCTAGAATACCCAGTTACCTAGCACCTGGACTTGTGTGTGTGAGTGTGTGTGTGTGTGTGTGTGTGTGTGTATGTGCACAAACATACATGGTACAAAATTTTTGCTTTTTGGAGATATTAGTAACATCATTGGAGCTAGTATTAATTTCACATTGTAAGTGTTGTTTTAAAAGTAAATAGACACTGAGCAGAGTCATGCCTGTAACCCTAGCTACTCAGGAAGCTGAGACTTGAGGATGGAGGTTCAAAGCCAGCCCAGACAGAAAAGTCCTTGTAACTCTTATCTCCAACTAATCACCAAAAAGCTGGAAGTAGAGAAAAAGAGTCAAGGGTGAGTGCAAGGCCCTAAGTTCAAGCCTCAGTACTGTCATACACACACACACACACACACACACACACACAACACAACTCACACAACACATCGAGATGTGAGGTTAGTGATAAATATATGAGAATGATAGAAAAATCCTAAGGATTTAAGGTCAATGATGGCAATCTGTGTATGTCAATCAGCAAGCAGAGATTCACCCCTCAAGTAACTAAGAACTCCAGATAATTTCTAAAGTCTTAAACAGCAGGCAGCCAACAAAAGGAAATCTCAGAATCTCTTATTTCTGAGCCCCAGTGTAGCATGCAACCAGCAGCTTCTGGTATAATTAGCTCACTGTCCCCATCAGACAAGAAACCTGATGCCTGGTCCTCAAAGTTTATACTTGCTTGCCAGGGTTTGTTTTTGCTTTTGTTTTGAAAGCTGAGCTCATTTA